TACCTTTTATCTAGATCTGTCAAATGTAACGTTACACTATATAGAACTATTTTTTTTTAATTATGTTTATGCTCTGATATGTTTACATGATATTGGTAAACTTTAGTGTAAGTCAAACTTCAGATACATGTAAGTTACTTGTTATTGTGATGACAGCTTTAATACAAGTTAAGCTTTATTCAGTAGTTTTATTCGTACTGTTACGGATACGGACTGTTCCCCGTTGCATTTTGTTATGTTGGACTACTATTATACTTATACATTGTATATTTATATACATTGTTATATACAATTATATATACATTGTTATATCTGTAAACTTCAGGAGAAGTTTTACTTGTTGTAGGGGGGAAGAGTGTAAGGATCTAATATGCTGAACCATAGAGTTCCCCCCTATGGGAATGGTATAACCTGCCACCCCCGGTGGCGAGTAGGCAAGTCCACTAGGAACCAGTTATATCCAGTTGAGTTAGAGTTACCCACATGTTCTGAAGAATACATACAGATCTACAGTACTCCACTCGTCTCTTCTGCTCATTCCATAAACCCTGGGATTGGATCGTTACACTATATTATTAGTATATACATGTATCATTAACAAGGTAAAATTAGCATGTGTATAGCAGTCCAACAAGCATGTGTTTAGTAAGGCCATTTGAAGTTAAAACCAACCGTATATGTTGTACATTAGCTTTCATCATCATCTTTACAGGTGCGAAGGGGGCCGCCAAGGGCGCGGCTGCCAAGACGGAAGCCAAGCCGGCAGAGAAGCCTGCGGCAAAGCCTGCAGCCAAGTCTGCAGCCAAGGGGAAGGCAGCGGCCAAACCTGCCGCCAAGAAGGATGCCAAGGCACCAGCCAAGAGACCTGCACCCAAGTCTGTCAAGACTGTGGGACAGGTCACTAAGGTATGCAGCACTAGTGTCGTTGTGTCTAGGTCATTCTTCTAGGGTCTGTTGGTGTGTCCAAGATTCGAGGGATGTCAAAATTTGAAAAATGTTCATAATTCTTTTGAAAGGGCACATATGTAATTATACTTTTATAGCCATAGATATCTCCTTGCTGGTAATCTTCACAATACAAAGTTGATGCATTGATTTCCATTGATTTGTGTGAGTTGTTGTTTTGAGAAATATGGGAGACCATTTAACTTGAGCAATGTTTTCTTTTTATCTTTCTCAGGCGAAGGCGGAAGCACTGAAGGCTAAGAAGGCAGTCCTGCGTGGGGTACACGACAAGAGACAAAAGAAGATCAGGACCAAGGTTCGCTTCAGGCGGCCCAAGACCCTCAAGACCAAGAGGATGCCCAAGTACCCCCGCAAGAGTGCCCCCAGGTTAAACAAGTAAGTGTCGAAAAAGAAATTAAATTATAAGTGTGTCGATTTAGTGTACCCTTAAGTTACATCTGCACACAGCTTGCCGTTCTGTTCACTATAATGTGACTAGAACTTTCACATGTGTGCCAGAGAAAATTTAAGACAATTAGCACCCTGGTTTCCTTGTAACTTGTGGTGTAGTCATCTTCAGACACCTTTCTCTCAATTCTCCTTTCTCTCCATTCAAGTGTGGATTTTTTGTATGATGTTGTAAGACGTTGTTGTAACCTACGTGTATGTGTAAAAGGAGGAGTGGTCCGATCTCTGTCATTCTTGAGAAAGACGAAACCGGTCAAATTCCTTCTCATCATTGTCATTCTCCCAACGCTACAAATGATGTCTATGTGTATGTGTTAGTTATCATAACAAAACCTAAATAATTCCTTCTATGACTTGCAGGTTTGACCAGTATGCCATCATCAAGCATCCCCTCACCACGGAGTCTGCAATGAAGAAGATTGAGGACAACAACACGCTGGTCTTCATCGTTGATATCAAAGCCAACAAACCCAAGATCAAGATGGCCGTCAAAAAGCTGTACGACATCGAAGTGGCTAAGGTCAACACACTCATTAGGTAAGTGTCTGTATCTGTATGAAGTGTCATTGCAGTGGTTTGTTTTTGTTCCTGAACTCAAACAGAAATCAAAAAGTCAAAGCAGGTATAAAGAGAAAGGTATTTCGAGCCTGTTTACGGCTGGTTATGGAAAGTTGGACTGACTAGTTCCTGTAGATGTTTCCATCTGCACACAGCTTGCCGTTCTGTTCGCTATGATGTGACTAGAACTTTCACATGTGTGCCAGAGCAAGTTGAAGACAATTAGCACCCTGGTTGCCTCATAGCTAGTGGTGTCAGTCATCTTCAGACAATGAAAACATTTTCAAGTGAACAGGGCCTCTATGAGACATTATAGATTGTTTGGATTCGGTGTTTCATCTATCATTGCTGTTTGGTTCAATCAGAAATAAAATGGACTGAAGAGTGAGTGAGTGAGAAAGAGACAGACCTTTAAAGATACATGTGTATCATACATTTGTATTTGTAATGTCATATAAATAAATGTAGAAATGGAGCTGTTGAAAGAGAACAAAATTTCACGTCTAAACTCATAGAATTTGATTGTTGTTAACCTATGAAACTCTCCTGTTGGTGACAATATGTTTGTTTCCTTGTATTCCCTACAGGCCAGATGGACAGAAAAAGGCCTACGTCCGGCTAGCTCCAGACTATGACGCACTAGATGTTGCAAACAAGGTAACTTTGTTTCTCATGTTATGGTCTTTTTGGATAACGTCATTTTATTACCTAACATGTATGTAAGGGTGCATGTACATATATAGAACGTGCCGTTTATGTTTATTTTGATGACTACATGTATTCATCATTTATTTTCCCTTTTTACAGATTGGCATTATCTAAACTGCTGGAACTGTCCTGGAAGCAGAGAGTCTGCTAGATACAAATAATATACAAAAAAACTTCCAACAATAAAGTCTGGAAAATGTGCTCCTCGTTGTGGTTTCTCTTTGTGTTGGCTTTATGAAAGTTGGTCTCTACAACATGTAGAATTATGATGTGTTAGCCTTGCACGTTCTAGTAGCTTTTTGTTTTGTTTGGAAATGCAACTGAAGTTGATTTAATCGAGCGATCATGAGGACAAATGACTGTTACACAATGATATGTTGTCTGTTGGAAGAACAAATGGTAAGAATACTCATTGTACAAGAGAATACTGAAGGTACAATTAATACACTACTTGTTGGCTCAAAAGTTGACAGACGTCGACATGGAAGGTGAAAAACAAATGGTTTATTATGATTTATATTGCCTATGAGGGTGACATGTCTCATGATACATGGACAGTTACATTAACAGAAATACAGTAGGTCTTACAACTAAAGTAGCCTCTAGTGACTGATAAAATCTAAGAATCTGCTTTATGGATGGATGCCTCCTGTTTCAGAAGAGGAATGATTGCATTTTATTCTCCAGTACATAAAAAGACAATTCTCTATGTATGGTATTTAAAATGGACTTGTGTTTGTGGAAATATCAGCCCTTCAACAACCTTAATACTTGTCTGCAACAGAACAATCAGATACTTTCTTGTATAGCCTTCCCCCCACTTCTTTAAATGTCCTTTTACAGCAATAGAAATGAAACATACACTTGTGACTATTTCTGACTACGAACAAGTGTGTCACTCTTCTATAACTTCATCCTCTGTGACCAGTATTTCCAAGTGTCCCTGTACGTCGTGGAGTTGTTTGGACTGGAAGTTTGCAATGATCTTCCTGTTTCCCGGCCGGACAGGCTTCATGGTCACTAACGTCCTGGCAGCCTCCAGAGGTCGAACATCTCTGTGTGAGAAATAATCATCAGAACTGTTGACTTGATGCAATTATACATTGAAATGCTACCTGTAGTACATGTAGTATACACATGCTAGCCTGGAGTCCATCCTTGTTGGCGATAGTTTTGGGAAGCGGACTAAAGGTAACAAGGCTGGACTCCAGGCTATACACTTGCTGGCAGCTGGGGAAACCAAATTGAATAGGGACTATTTGAAAACTCCCATGATCTTTTCCATCAATAAATTGCCATAACTTGAGTGTTCTATCCCCTTACTGAAGTGCCAAGGTATATAAGGCTTTGAGAAGTTACATTGATGAAGGTTAGACATCCAGGTAACGAGATACTACACAAGAAAACAGTTACTCCACCAATCTTGCAACTGCATAGATTCTGAAATCTGTCAAAGGCATCAAGTAGTCACTGATGAAAAGTAGTTGCTGCTTGAAACATCTCACAGTTCTGAAAATCTATCCAGTTGCTAGAGTAACTTCTCTTGATTTGAGAATTTATTTGCGGAAATGCTAAAAAAATCCTTAAGTTCTTACCTGTATGAAATGCATTTTGGTTTCTGGATTCCCGGTCCTTCGATGTGGAATTCTGTGTTAGTAAGTTTGACCGCTAGGGGGTTCTTGAAAGACAGTTCCACAACAAACTCTTCTCCGACTGGGAAGTCAGACCTCTCTCTTGCTGGGATCTGTAGATCAACACATAAAACAACCACATCATCAATGTATGTTTTATCTATGGACATCTTGTGCACAATACTGATACTGAGTGAAAACCGCAAGGGTATATCTGTAGTCAAGTTATGGGTAGTAGTAAGCCTGTCCTTGGTACTGAAAAGACATCTGGTTAAAACACAGGGATTTTTCTATTCAAAATGCGTGATATTTTATTTAGAATCTTCAGTAGTGTTTTAGGAGTGAACATTAGGCTCAGATTTTTTTCAGAAAAAAATATGAAGCGACACGGCGTAAAAAAAAACAGGCCTACGCATTTTATGATAGCCCTAAATGCTAAATTGGTGTGGCCTTAACTAATAACCAAAAAAAAATCTTGTGTATATTGAATCCATTTCTATTCTAATTTCAAATCAAAGAAATGTCGTTCGTCCTCGTCAACCTGACGGACGAACGACATTCTAATTTCAAATCAAAGAAATAATTGACCGTCGACGACGTCCTTTATGTATATTAAACTGGGCAGAAGACCTGTCCTTGGTGCTGAAGAGATATCTATCACACAGCAAAAGGGACTGTTCCTTCTGTCCTGACATTCGAATACATATGTTGATGCCCATAATTTGTCGAATATGACCTGGCCTGGAAGTCAGACCATCGAAGGCACGCGGGTATCTCTACGGTGCTGGCAATACTGCCCGCCCGCCCAGGCCCATTTACCGCACGCCGTTTTTTTTACGGGGTCGGTTTCAATTAATTGAATGTCACTGTGCCCTTACGTGAATGTTGAGCCTGGGCACGCTGAATCGGAAGTCTGTCTGCCCGGCGAACGTGCACTTGTTCTCCCTGACTCGCCCCAGCAGGTTGAGCTTGATGGCGCCCTGGTCCACCAGATACGCCATGTACTGGGCCGGCTCGATCTGTGCGTGTAGCGTCATTTCTAGCAAGAACCACAAGAGCAACGAATGAGAGTGGAAACATAATAATGGCCAGTACAAATATGAAGACAAGTTGAGATTGGGTTTCTTGAGTCTACTAGACTTAATTATAAGATACACATTACGCTTAATCCATCCTTAAATACATTTAACCTCCTTAATCCTTCCTAGAGCACACCAAGATAGTTAGGCATGGGAAAATCAATGTTTGGTATCCGATTTACTGAGGGAAGAAGTGCTTCTGAAAATGCGTTGAATAAAGTTTTAGGCTTCAGAGGGTTTGAAATTCAGATGCCAAGTCGAAAATTTCATAGCCCCACCAGCGGCTGATACACAACATTTTACTCTAGGCCTTATCTATATTTTATTGAACTGATGGAAATACTCATGCAGTAGACAACAAAGCCAAAATCACTCATCGAAAGAAAACTAGTCCTACAAGATTCATAATGAAAGAAATAAAGTGTATTCTTTGTGATTTCTTACGTCCATTTGGTTGTAGCGTCACCACGAATTTCTCCTTGTGGAACTGTGCGACAGGCACCCCCGTGTAGTACATGGTATGCGCCGTCAGGAACATGCTGACGTTCCTCTCCTGGTTGCTATGGTTACGGAGCGTGACGCTGGCCGTGAAGTCGTGACCTACGATGACCTCTTTGGGAGCGTTGATGGAGAACTCGACGTCCGCCTTCTCCGGCCTCTCGCCGTACGTGTGCGGTCTGCTGCCGTGGCTAACGGCTTTTTCAACGGCCAGTCGCTCTTCCTCGGTCCCTAAATCACGCATGAAACAAGGAAAATGCAAAGAACAGTTTAGTAGGAATGGATACGGATGATTTTTCATGAAATTCATCTGTGATGGTAGCTAAGACCACCGCTCAACCGCGACGGAGGATGTCATCGTTTACCAAATACCTTTGACCCAGTGTTGACGTCACACTTCAGACAACAAACAACACACAACAACATTAGTGATGCAGCAGTGATTTTCACAGTTGACGACAGTCCCTATACCCTCGGAGAACTTGTAGTGTTCCGTGATGTCTTCTCTCTCGTCCGTTCCTACCGCCTTGGTGCTGATCTTCACTCCGATACCTCTCTTCTGCTGAAACACCTGGAAGGAACACGTGTAAGATATGTTCACAATTTCATACATTTTCAGTCTGGTCTTATTCTGGTGATTCATCGTCAAAAACTAGACTCACTACCACAAAACGAAACAATGTATTGAACTTTTAAAAAAAAGTTCAGCCTTTCCCCCCTACCTGGTACATGGGCCGGTCCTCGGGACACACCCACGAGATACTGTCGGCGTTGACCTCTGCGAAGATGAACTTGGCGTCGTAACCATAGTAAACATGGCCGTTCTTAATGGCGTGGACAGACGCCGGGCCGCACCGGAACTGGCCTGAGGAGGAAGACACGAGAAAGAGTGAGAAAGCTAGTGAATCTACCAGAACGTTAGGAAAGCAAATGAATAATTTTTACCGTTTAGCCTAGCAATCTACTGCTTTGTATATGCTTATTTTCACACAAACACATCCAAATACATGTATATGGTGACCAGCCCCTCCAACACTGTCTTGCTATATAATGTAATCATACTCATAGGATGTTTGCTACAGCACCAGTTACCATGATGGCAGCTGACTGGTCCAGCTCATTGGCCTTTTTTGTGTTTATAGAAGAAGAAGAAGAGGAAAGAGTAAAAACGAAGATGTTTTCCTTCTGTAAAGGTGAACATTAAAACACCTACACATATTTGAAATTTAGTGCGAATTAGGAAAAGTAAATATGAAAATGTATAATTCGAAATTCTTATGTTCCGTACCCTCGCTTGTCTCCTGAGGCGTGGCGTCGAACGCCTGCCAGCCGCCGTACCCAGCAGGCAGGTCCGGTCTGGTCATCCACGCCTCGTTCCACACGTGGAAGTTCCTGCGGTATAAATAAATGGACTAATCGTACCATCTTAGGTACGTAAACCAACGAGGGTACACAATTAATGAAATTGTTACGCAACTGGATAGGTTTTGAAAAGGCTGTCAGACCTTTCAACTAGCACCCTCTTTATCAGTGACGAAACCTAGGCTAGCTTCTTGGTAGATAGCACTTAAGCATATAGTCGTGATTGTCTTGTTCTTTCCTGGGCTGACATTAGGTAATTACAGTACATTGAAACCTCTTCATTTGTATCAATACATTGTATCACCTGGATTTAACCTTTCCTCTGCTGCATAGCCCCATAGTATGATACCCCATACAAAATCTGGTGCGAAACGGCTATCTTACCATGCTAAAGGTTAAATGAAAATGTTCGGAAGGATAAGGTGAATTCTGTCTCACCAGGTTGAGTCCGTGTTGAGGTAGTCGATGGGTGTGAACTCCTCGTCGTAGTGGATGTCGACCACCAGGTTCCCGTCCGTGTCGTGCGCCGAGGCGAAGTTCGTCACACTGCGGGCCGGGATGCCCAGGCTGCGGAGGACTGGGGGAAGAACGTCCGTAGAAAATTACAAAGAAGTGATTGTACAATCTCACGATAACGATGCACTTAGAATTGTAGTTCTGATTGGCTGAGACTCTTAGTTCTGATTGGCTAATTTCGTCAGTGCAAAATGACATCTTGTATGCTGATTGGCTGTTCCTAAAAACGCCCCGCCCTATATGCTTTTGTGAGTAAGCCATGGCCAATGGGAGGCTAGTATACGATATAAAAGCAAGTGCGGCACCACTCTCTTGTCACTCTGATGAAAACTTTATTTTGAATACTATATTAAGGTCGAAAACGGTCAATAGTAGTGTCTCAGCCGTTATACTTCTGATGAGTATCCCTGACTGTCCTCACCTGAAGTGGTAACTCCTGAGAAGACCCAGCACTGCCCGAAGCAGACGGGCTCCTTCTTGTCGTAGTACTGCTGCAGGATCTCCACGCTACCGTTCCAGGCGCTCGGGCGGATGCCGTCCTCGTACTCCCCCGACCAGTTCCCGACCAACACCCCGTCCTCGTCCTGACTGTTCACCTGATATCGATGGTGCGACAAAGACACGACAAGCTAAGGAAGTTGTAGTTAACAAACGTTGTACATGTACAAATAAAGGTGTAGCAGACATTTTGAACATATGTACAAGAAACTTGCATAGGTGAGCGGTATAATCAAGTACCCTCAAAGCATACGTTGACGGACAGGATATACAACACTCCAAAAATAGTTACTCAAGCAACTGGATATGATTTTGAAAAGTAGTTCGTGCATATAGCTAGATTTACTAGATTTGCATACACATTTACATTTAGTAACTAGATTTACATATATCTAGATTTACTGACCATTTTGGAGACGACTCTGACGATCCTTACTGGGTCCCACCGTGCCCTGTGTGGAAACTTGGCTTTGTCCAACAACTCAAGCGAGGCGTCCAGAACTGGCATCTCAAACTGTGCAACAGAAACAAGAAAGATATAATTTATATAATCGGAGAAGTAGTACAAGCAACCGCCCATAATGATGAAGTTCTGAATGTTGAGTTCATAAAAACCATGGAAGTGGCAATAGAAGACTCAAACGGCCATCTCAAACTGACTCTAGATCTTTTCAATCGGGCTATTTTCGACCTAGTTACTTCTTTGCCCTGCCTCGTCATATTCTTACATTTCATACTACTGAAACGTTATGCTAAGATAAGATTATAATGGTTCCCAGTGTGTATCTCTGACTAGCTGTTTGGAGTCCTTTTACCTGTCCGAAGTTCCAGGGCCTCTCCATGACTTGTCTCTTGTTACCGACGTAGATGATTCCGGACTCGTTCATGATGTATTCCTGCAGCTGTTCCTCGTCGTTCAGGTACACAGAATCATCTGGAAATGGATTAAAAAAATGGCCTTACATATAATTATGTGGTTTTGGTACGACAAAATCGACTGTTCCTAATTTTTAACACACACGTGCCCATGGCTTGATCCATCAGGCTGTAACCCTTTCAATTTGGGCAAAAGAGCTAGCCTCTACCAGGCTTTGGGAGGCGTCTGGAAAGAGTAGAAATTGGCCAAATAGAGATATGACATGTCAGGGGAGTTGGTCCGCTCGAGAGTACGTACATTATGCCGCACCCGAACTGTACTCTCTTGCGGACCGACTCACGTCCGGCATGTTATCTCTCTATTTGGCCAATTTCTAGTCTTTCCAGACGCCTCCCGAAGCCTAGTAGGCTACAAAACATGTATTCGACCCTTAGCTTTGACATTATGCATGTAGTTCCTAAGTACATTGTATACGTACGCACTAAATGTTTCCCTTTGATCTCTGACACCATATACATTTGTAGATTCTTTCCTTACCCTTGCACCATGGGTTGAAGAGCATGTAGATGTGTGAGTACGGGTCCTTTTCCGTCCGATACTTGTGTCCGTCTAGTATCGTCTCTACAACTATGCTGTACCTGGGAAACAACAGGACGGGAAGACCAGAACCATTTTCAGTAAATAATCATAGATTTTATTCGCAAAATATTAATTTTCAATATGGAAGTAAATCATAAAACTAGAAACAATCATCCAATAGTGCAAAGACCTACAAAATCAAATCATCAGATCCATAATACATGTCAAAATCTATTGCAAGAAACGGTGTTTTAGAATGTTGTAAACTATCCTTACTTTCCGACGATAGCGTTGGGCGGTGCCTGGACTAACAGGTCGACGGTCTTCAGCCCCTTGTCCGTGACCTTTGCCCCCCATGACGTACCGCCCAGGGGACTGTCCACCGGGACCCGGGCCAACGTGCCGTCACTGATCTTTGGGGCGTCACCTTCGTACGTCAAAATATGAAGGACAGACTCAATGAGAGGAAATATATTAATACACTCTAGGAAACTGTTCTCCAACTCAAAGAATCACTCACCGAAATTTCCCTCAACCGTGACGGGGGACGATACCGACTTCCAACCAACTTTGCTGACGTCATACATTAACATAACCACGCAATGAGTAAAAAAGCTGAGGAAGACCGAATGATTCGTAATAGACCGATCCCAAGTCCATCACAATTAGAAGTTCAACCAATGAGAAAATGGCAATTAGCGGTTCGACCAATGAGGGAGTGGCTGCATGTCCGTCAAATATTTGTATTTCTATTTTTTGACGGAGGTGGGCTGGGCTTCAGGATCGGAGGGGACTAACCTGTGTGGAACTCCAACGTGAGTTGCGAGTTTTCCTCGGTGTATGGCTTGTCGAACGCGAGGCAGAGCTGGAAGGGTTCCCCACGCCGCACGATGAGCTGGAAACTCTCGTACTCCTCCGTGTGGTGAGCGCGACGGTTGTGCGACAGCCGGAAATACACGTCAGACACCTGCAGACAGCGGTCTGGGGAGGGAGGGATGGAATAGATGGATACAGACAAACTTAAATAGCACAACCAATGAGAGAATGGCAATTAGTGGTTCGACCAATGAGAGAGTGGCTGCATGCATGCGTCCATCAAGTCTGTATGTTGATTTTCATACACTTTTATATATTTATAGAGTTGTCAAGATGAGATGACGGGCTTAACAATCCAAACACTTCTGAAGCCTGAATAAACTCCACAGAACGCCTGGAAAGACGTCATTGCTGCTAACTGATGGTCGAAGGGAGGGGTGACTGGAAAGGGGCGGGGCTCTGTGGACGCCTGGGGGGGGGGGTCAAGCTTATAGGCTACGTTAGAATTTTCGAATGGTTGTAATGACCTGATGTAGAAGGCCCCTTTAATCCATTGACATCTACAACCATCCCTTAACAGAGACGGGGGGCGCCACAGACTTTCTGCAATCTACTGCTCACGGAGTCACGTGTGCCATCTACGTGGCGTCACGAAATCGGTGGATTGCTCATTCCTTGTCAAAAACTGGAGTGTGCAGTCGAAAATTTGGGCATTACAGTTGAAACTTGTTTCATAATGTTTCTAGGTCTATTAATATCGAACGAAACGCGCACAGAATGGTGAGTTGTGACCGGTGACCGACCTGAACTGACCCTGGCCTGGCCGACTGAAGATTCATCGGGTCAGGTGTTGCTGACAGACACGTCAGACATGTGTCAGGTATGTGTGGGTCTCTCTATATAGGTTATTATGTACATGTACGTACAAAATATAAAGATAGAGATAAGATTAGGATACGTTAATTACCATCAACTAGCCTCCGGAGCGGCAATACGGACAAACTCTGATGTCAAAATTTGAACATGTATACAGGAATCGTGTTTTTTGGCCCGCCGAGTTTTTTTTCGCCCTATCGCATTAGATTTCGAGTCTGCAGGGGATGTCATCCATAAAATTTACTTGCTGTGGTCTTAACTAGGGATGTCGAAAGGATTCCGAAGTATAATATTTTGAGTTAAATTTCGCGTTTGTCACAAGCAATTTGTTAGCTATATCATGTTAGCTACTGACATGTTCTAAGCAGTACTAGGTACCAGTGAGGTCACCCTGTTTCTATTGTTATTTACCTTGTAGGCTAAAAAAATCAGCCGCGTCGGCCAACTCTAACTCTTGATAGCTGCTTGTCAGACCACCAAACAGCTTAGATTACACATTAGTTACACATAAAGATAAAGATACACATGTAATACAATGATATCATATCATATCATATCACCAATCACCACATCATAAACATCCAGCATCAGATAGTGCAACACAAAAAACATTCGAAATCAGCCAAACAGTTTTAAGAATTTTGCTCCCTCTATCTTCAGTGAGAAACGTCTCTTTATCGATCAAGTTGCTCTATCTAAATAAAAGGGAATGCCAGGGTATTCAGCTGCAGATAGATTAAACGCACGGTGACAGCTTGTGAGCTGTGGGGAGACTGAACCTTAAACCCTGACCAGTGCCTGTTTATGGTCAGCGTCAGTATGTCAATGAACTTGGTTGATCTTGTTTTCATGATGGCGGAAGAGTGTTGACACACATACACGCATATCCATGCATGTGGACCCATACTAGTGAATAACATGCGGTATGCAAACGTTTCGGGGCAACTTATGACAGAAACAAATGGGCCCCAGTTGCACACATCGTCCGATCCGATCTAACCCTTCAGTAAATTTTGGATGGTCAACAAATAGTTTTATGTGTTCAACACGTCCGTCGTACCATACCGCATTTTTGACTTAACGAACTGCCATCAATGCCATTCTTAATCGTTTGCGAATACATGTATCTGTAGGATTGTGACCAAAACGATGTATTTTATTGTGGCTATTGCCAATTTTAGGGTCTCTATGTAGCTAATTGATTCCCTGGGCTCCCCTACGCTAACCAGAGTGTTATACATGTATCTGCAGCATTGACTCTGACGGGCATGCACAACAGCTCTCTATCTGTTATCACAGTTGCGAGGTAAACAGATATGCCTGTCGTTACATTTGCGTCCACAGATGTTGTATGAGGAATTAAAATATTTTCGTACGAGGAAAAACTAGAACTAGCGAATGATATCTTACCGAGGTCCTCTGCCAGAAGTGTGAGCCTGCGAGGGCCGGGCCCGTTACCGACTGACCGCACGGTTCTGGCGTTCGCCACGGGCTCGACATCTATCGGCTGCAGTTCCTTCTCTCCCCGGTTCTTGGATACGCACTTCCCCATGGCGGCTGGGATCTTGTCACGGTGTCTGAGCCAAGGAGGAAAACAAGTCGCGGTCGCTCTACGTGAACTCAGTGAGGGTTGTTTTGGGGTGGACGTTCAAGAATACTGCGTTTTGTCTTGCGAATTCTGCGTCCTCACTTAAGACCAACTGAGTAAGAATCTGGTCGACGGCGTCCTACCTTCGAGAGACCTTCGCGAATACGTTTTTAAAAGAGAACCCCAAGAAGATATCAAATGCTTCTTATGAGGGGGAACAATCCTGGTAATAGTTCGTTATCACCGCAGACTTAACCCCTTCCACACCCCGCCCTGTTCGTGGTTCAGCCTGTTTGTGTACCCAGGGACCAGAGAGACACATACTCGCATAGTTTTCTAAAAATTGCCGCCCGCTCGTTTGATATGTGGGTCGGGTCGGTAGAAGGGGGAGGGTAATGGTCGCTCCTAGGGCACTGAATATGAGACATTGGCTGTAAAAATTTCGTTTATTGTTTAGTGGTGACGGCTGTCTTTTTTTCCGGCAATAAAATATTCTCATGATAGGAAATTGATGCCTTAATGCGAATGTCTCTTCTTCGTCAAGCAGATGTATGGTGTATTTGTTTCATACGCCTTTCGCGGAGCTAGCCCTCTTGTGGTGCTTCTTTCGCTTTAATTTTAAGATATTTGGTCTGTTGAGGCTTCTAAGTTTCTATTTAGTATGTCCCATTCCTGTATTTTGTATATATAATAGAATACTGTTATTTTCTTTTTTTTCGACGGAAAAGGATCAATTGGCCTCCTTTCAGTTGAAGTTGTGGACTGCATGCCATCCCTCTAAATCAAAAACTGTCCCTATTCACGTATAATGCAGTGTTCCTAGTAACAGTACCAGTTAATGACATCCTTCGTAGTTTTTCCTACTTCCTTGGGAGTGCCAGGAAGTGAGATTTAAAATTGGCAGATCCAACCGTCGTCCTCACCCGGTAGTTGCCACCCACATGTACCGGTTTCGCCGTGACTCTATATACATGCACTTGGCAACAAAAACTTAACGTTTAAACGCAACTCTTGACCACGGACCCTGCCTCAAATGGGTAGGGTACATGTAGGTAGGTGGGTGGATTTCGATTTTAACGTAGATCTTAGTCGACATCTTGAAAAAAAATCGGCCTTGATATACAATCCGAAAAACCACAAATTACAGAGAAAGTGGGATCTTTTGTCTTCCTCTGTCTTCAAAAACGAAGTCAAACCCAGTGTTTTAGGAGTTAACAGTACTTCTCTGTGTATTAAATTACCTGTTCTTAAGTTATACCCAAATGTTTCTTCTATACTTGCAATTAGCCCTTGGGCATGGGTTTGTAATAAACTTGATATCAATATCTACATACAAAAAGTGTTTATGATTATTTTAGATATATACGCAAGTAATATATAGCACTGAAATCTCACGTCCTCCATGGGTTCACACGCCTCATGATCATGACGACTTTTTGGCAGACTCACCACACTTTGAAGCTGCATCAATGTCGCACTTAGCTGCGGTGTTGACTCAACTGTAGGGTGGAGAGTCTGTCTGGCCCTCCGCCATTGAACTTCACAGGCTGTGTGCTCATATTTGTACATGTCGTCCTGTAGGGTTTAACTCCACGACTACTGTCACGGTGTAGATGTAGGTGCCCCCCAAAACACACAACATACCTCAGGTTTCTAGAATAGTGCGAGAAGTCTGGGATGACACATGCCGATCACAAGGCCAGGCCAAGTTTTTTTTTTTTTGCTTTTCAGAATTCTAAAACATAATGTTTTTCTCCATCTGTATCTGTATAGTCGGTATAACCGCCTGTCGGCGTAACACACCAGCTTCGCAGGCACGCGGCGCGGCGGCAGCTGGCTGTATCACACCGAACGACCTCTTACACTCAATCTTTGCACATTTAATTGCAGCAGTTAGTGATGATGCCCCTACTGTGCTTGGTGACGAGTTCCACTCTACCATAGTTCTTGGAAAATACGAATTGTTGAACACCTACAGCTCAATTCTTGGTTGATAACCCTGATATTTGAAGGCATGGCTATTTCTTGTTCCTGTTTGTCCATGTAGTTTTTACAAACTATTATACAGCTTTGTCGCAAAAGCTTTCATAATATTGGCTTTTCCTCCTGGAGGCTAGATGTCCCTTTCACCCAGCTAACATATTGTAATAAAAGACAAACATTTTTCTCAAGTGGTTTACTTGAAGCTTTAATATTTCACCATGATTAATATACAAATGCTTCCTTTGTATACACTTCTCGTTACAGATGCTTTCTGTAGATGTACATTGTGATTTTCTGTCTCTTGCGTTAGGGTTTCAAATACGTTAGATTTGTGTGCAATCTACACGGAGGTGGCTAAGCAATGATACAACATGTATACGGTTACATTTTAGCCACTACATTGCCACATTGAGTCCTGGCTAAGTTGTAGAGTATCCTCCTCAGCAAAAGTAACATTACGGGTGACCGTATTTAGAAAGAACGTAGTTACATGACTATATTATACATCACTCAACAAACTTTGTGTGTGGTCCAATTTCATAAGGTCTAAAGACTACACTCAACTAACAGTGCTCTTTTTGAAAATGAAAATTGTCATTTCACTGGCTGCATTTTTTCCAGTCTTTCAACAAAAACATAATTCCACCTTCTATTAGAGACTTCGCACTCTAGACATTTTATACTTGTTACCATGAATATCATGTATTGAAAATATTAAGTGTAGTTCTTCTTACAGGTTTCTTTCTTTCTTGTGTAACTATGTTGTTACTTCATCTAAAGAAATACAGTGCCTGTGCTCGTAGAACACATCGGCAGAACGTATTGCGCCTGCACAAACCCCCCATTTTCACAGTTCATTGGACTTTTGGTTGACATTGCATCAGAAGTTTGCCTGTTGCAGACGAAATCTTTTCTGACATAACATTTTGAAACTAGAGTGTTAGCCTCATATGCATGAATGCGACCTTGTATGAGACGTTCTGCTAAAGTTCTATGCAAAATACATTGCGGGTTGCAGGTGCAATGCGTTCTGCCCACGTTCTTGCCCATAGTGTTGTATTTGCCATGTGGTTTTACGTCTCTTGTGGTTCGTCGATGAGCGGCGTGGCATCTCCCATTGCGGAGATGGGGGTGCTCTCGATCATGGGCGTGCCCTCCACCATGGGGCTGGGTGACATGGTGGGTGCGCGGTGCGTGGGTGTGCGATGGCTGGGTGTCCGGTGGCTGGGGGTGTGGTGACTGGGTGTGTGGTGACCCGGCGTGCGGACCTTAGGCGTGTCGCCGCCTCGCTGCTTGTTCCGTTGCTGCTGTACCCACGCCAGTGCGGCCTTGCCCCAGTCGGTTCCCGCAGCCGCAGACGTGGAGGCCCTGAAAATGACAAGAAGTTATGGTCTATTTGCTGCTACTGTATCTCTATTAGGCCACAATTTCATGGATGACATCAATTTTCGCCTGTTCTCAAAAAAAAAAAGAGAGAAAAACCTCCAAGGAGGCTCTGACCTGGGTGCCATCCCCCATAGCAACAATAGGTAGCCGGCGGTAACTACAGAGGATGGCACCCAGGCTACCGAGGTTCCATGGAACTCAAGACCTCAGTACAGTGCCGACTCACAAATGCCACAAAAGGCATGTGCTGGCTTGTCGTAAAAGTCGCTATGTACTATCGTAAATTTACAATAAATTTAAAATAAGGAATGACCAAAAAATTGACTTAATGTTATGACAGCGCAGGTATGGCACAAATAAAAATTTTGACCCTGAAAATTTTGACCCTGACCTTGGAGCAGCTCGTGAAGGCGTGGCTCCTGATGTTGAGGCAGATGCGGTGGCGGCGGCCGTACGCCCGTGCCCGTGGCCCCAGGAAGACTGCGGCGTGGGCTGGTACCGTGGCGTGGTCTGGGGTTGTCCCTGCGCCGGCGTGGCAGAGGGGTAGGCTGGGGTCATCATCGGCGTGGCCATGGGGTTCGGAGTAGCAAAGGTCTGGGAACACGGGCAGGGAAATGTCAGAATCGGTGCCTTTCAACATATTACAACCATCTAAAATGTCAAATAGCTAACAGTAGGGTACAAAAGCTGAGGTCAAGTGGTATAAACAGTAGCATGTTTGGCTCAGAACCAAGAGGTCCCGGGTTCAAATCCTTCCCATGTCCTATCCGTGTCACCAATCTTGTCTCCTTGGGAAAGCCACTTTACACGACTTTTCACACTTCACTCAGGTGAAAATGAGCTTCGGTTAGGGACATCCCACGGATAGGACGTTAAATGGAGGTCCTGTGTTTGGAGAGAGCCACACCCCACCCACACATATTAAAGAACCAACTGCACTTATCGAAAATGAGTAGGGGCATGCCACAGTGTACGATGGTACAAATACTATTGTATAGAGTTGGTGATTTCGGCTGGAGGCAACTTAACAGATATTAAACCGGACAGTGAGTATGTGAGTTTTTTCAGCCACTGTATACTGTGTGTTATGACAAAAGGTGGTTTACTGTTTATGTGAAGAAACAAAGTTAGCAGTACCTGGTATGAGCTGGACCCTGCTGCTCCGCTGTACCCTGCCCCTGCATGGTACTGTCCCTGGCTCTGGCCGTACCCCTGGCTGCCCCACTGCGCGGGCGTGGCGCTCGACCCCTGACTCGTGGCCGCGGCCAGCGCGCTGAACACCTGCTGCGTGGACAGGTTGGAGGGGAAGTTGCTGATGGCCTTCTGCAGCTGCGACAGCTGCGCTGGGTCAACACCTGAAAATAACACATTGCCAGATGTTATACATTATTAACATTATACAAATAACACATTCCAGAGAGAACATTCAATTTATTCTTAATCATAGACCAAATGTTATAAGATCTTTCCTTCTGGGGTATCTTCCTTTATCACATCACAATGTGTCTGGTCAACAAAATTGTTGCTATAACACATTAAAGACTGGAAAAGCAAAATTCTTGAGTATTTTCTAGTACATAGACTCCATGAAACATTGAGGTTTTAGTTTACTAGTAAGACAATAATGAGTGAGTGAGCAGTAGTATGACATACCTTGAAGGTTGATGCCCGAGGGTGCAGGGGTGTTTTCTGGACGTGAGGGTGCCATGGGTGTCCTGTGGCGTACATTTACAGGTGTCGCACCTGTAGTAGATATAATATACGTGCATGCA